CTTTTTAATACTAATGGTAGGACCATGGGCCCATTAAACCCATAGTTGAGACAAGCAGGCTGTGGGGCCTCCCAACTTAGCCCAAGATCAATATAAGGCTTAGATCATTCATTTGCTTCTTGATCTACCACTTTCATTATCATTTACAATTTTTATTTTTTAAATTTCAAGCACTTTCTCTTTTTTTTTTTTCTTGAATTAGTTAAATGCATACCCTATTAAATGTATAGGGTAGCATTTTATATAATATATAGATTTGTTTTACAATAATTAATTTACTTTTTATAATAAACAATTAATTTAGTGTCGATTAAGTTAGGAATTTATTAAAAATTAAAACAATTGTCATTAATTACTCAAATAGTCAAATAAAAACATAAAATTGTCCAAGTTAAATATCATCAATTTTCCTTTGTTTTCTTGGAAACCAAACAACTAACATACTAAATTGATTGTAACAAAACCAATTGATATTTATGTCACTCATACCCAAACTTCAATTGAAATCAATACTAAATTTTGCATAAGAAATTGGTAGGTGCAGTTTAGAAATTCAAAGAAAATAACAAAAAAAAAAAAAGAAGATTTCATTGATGAAATTTATTATCATGACTTGTGAATATGTGATTAACACCAATGAATTCCATCTTCAATTTAGCTATTAAAATTATTTTTGATGTCTAAATAAAAGATGCAAAATCAGAGGAGTCACGATAAAGACTGGGACAAAAAAAAAAATCATATTTTATCCTAAGTAATCACATGAGGTAAGTGAGATATTTTTTTTTTTTTATATGAATTCAGGGTAAGACAAAACATTAAATAGTAGTTATCTTATCTAATGTCCGCCCCAAACTTGAGATGTAATGACTCAGGATATAAATTTCATCCTATGCCATGTCTTATTCGGTACTCTAAACGTACCGTTAAGGAGTTGTTGTTGTTGCTGGGAATATAATTTTGTTCACATTGCAACTTTTACTTTGCTTAGTTGTCAAGACATACATAGACGCGTACGATTTGACCTACCTTATCACCACAATCTAAATGGCCATTAAATTGCATCTGGCCTCGTTGGCTTAATGATGTTGTTACATTTAATAAATGTACTTTTTAATCTTTTAAACTACCATATTTAATAGGTGTACTTCTTAATTTCTTAAGTTGGATTAGATTTTTGTTACCTTAATTTATAATTTATTCAAAAAAGTGGTCATTAAATTAAGGGGCAATTTGCATCTGGTCCTTCGAGCAAAGTGATCTCCAACCACATTGAAGATGCATTTCCCCTCCCTCTTGGGCAGGGTTTAAACCCGCCCCATGTAATATCGATAAAAAAAAAATTAAGGGGTAATTTTTCTTTGTTTATAATTTTTTTAAAAAATAGTTAAAAATATTTATTGTTTTTTCAAAGTATATAATAAAAAATATTCAATAGTCCACTTACTAAAGCTTTATTACAGTGTGACGCTGAAGTTGCTCACACGTGTTGTGTCGACCAGATTCCTCACT